TGGCTCTTCTATTCTACTGTAATTACTAAGCTACTTCTACTTTTATTAATAAGCATTTTGTCTGTATTAGTCAGCCTTCTGTCTGTTTTACTAATGTATTGGTAAGCTATTACTAATGTTTGTTAGAGTATTACTATATTTTGGTAATTCATAACTGTTGAGCATAGACCTTTACTAAGCATAGTTTCTAGATTACTAAGAAGCTGAGTCATATTATTAGTCATTGATTCACTTTTAGTAAGCTTAAGTGTTTATGCTTACTTTGCAGCTCTGAGTAAGCGGTTTCTTTTTGATTTGAATACCTATTATTCCTTTAGTTTTCCTATACTTATAATTATGGTGCATGACAGCGTGGCATGCGTAGGCGTTGTGAAGGGGGTGTACTCAGTGAAGTTGTCCAGGTTATCTGTGACGTGTCACATACAGCTGGAATTGAGCATCCAGCGGTTCACTCCAGAGTTATACTAGGAAGCAGAGTGAATTTCAGCCTCAGAAGCAGTGTCTCCCTCAGCGATGACTACATTTACAGATGTAAAACCAGTACTATTACCAGACAGATTAGACTTTCTGTTTTCGCTCTTGCCAGAAGCCTTCTTTGCTTTCTGCGCAGCAGCTTTCTTCTTACGGCAGTCTTTCTTGACGTGGCCCTTGTACCCACAGAAGTTGCACTTCTTCTTTGTTTTGCCCAATTTGGGTGCTGACAAAGAGAAGGCCTTTGTGTTAGGTGCGTAGAAGGTGGCAACATTTGTGCCACGACAATTTGCTTTGTCGAGAAGACGGTTGCAGATGTCATCAAGCTTGAGGTCATCAGGCTTGGTGACTGTGAGGATGGGTTCCACGACATTGGAGAAAGAGTTGGAGAGAGCTGTGAGAAGGCTGAAAATCTGCAGCAACTCTGGTTTCTTAAGAGTTAAGTTACGGCGCCCACCACATGAAGTAACCTGCACACCTTCTTCACTACATTTTTTGCCTTTCTCTATATGCAGATTGTAGGTGAGTAACTGGTTGTGAACGGGGCAGCTCACGCTTCACCTTTAGTATTTTGCCGTTTCGCTTCCTCTGGAGCAATCAGGACTTGAGTTAGTGTTCAAGTCCGAGGCCAAGCTGCTGTATCTTTCTCTTGTCTCGCTGCTTCTTCATTTGGAGGCACAATATTTAGGACACAACAAAAGATGCAAGCTGTGTTCTCATCACTGATCTTCTTCAATTGTGCTTGCAGAACTTGAGCCTTATTTTTGTCACGAGCATCCAGATAATTCTGCAGGTCTCACATGTCGCGCTTCATCGCATTACTCACCGCAGTATCAGGGATCAGGTACTTCTCCATTTTTAAGAGCAGCAGGCAAAGTGTATCACGGGTGCAAGTCTCGAACAACTCTAACACGCTGCGAGCACGCTTCACCAAATGATCATGTTGCGCTGTCATTTTCTCTGCCGAATGATGCCTGCGACACTAATGAGAGCGGCTCAACTTGCTCTCGGCCTTCTCACTCCTACCATGGCTCGACTCGTGGGAGGTGACAGATAGCAAAGCCAGATAGTGTCTCTTGCACAGGGGATAGCAGCCTGTTAGCTCTTGGTCATCCTCAGAGATATCGTGCATTGTCTGTCTCGGGTCTTGTGGGCCTGCAGTCTGGGTCTGTGTTGAAGCTGGTGATGTTGTGGCAAGAATACTGGCAGGCCACAGAAAGTCTTCTTTGTCGCAGCCACAGTTTATCCAAGATCTCCTGGCGGCGTAGTCTAGGGCACCGCACAATTTCTCGAGCATCCCCTAGGTACGTAAGAGCGTCCATCCACTCTTGTCCACGTGTAACATATTAAAGATCCACTCATTTGCGGCCTACACGAACAGGTTAAACCATCGCAAGTCGTTGATAAGAGGGAAGTTGGTCACCAGATACGTGCGAGATTGCCTATGGATGAGCTCCTGGTTCAGCCCCGGCACATGAAGCATAACTCACTTATCAGTAGGAATATAGAGTTCAAAAAGAACGCTGTATAGGTCAATGCAGATGTCGTCAAACAGGCGGCGATAGGTAAGGAAAGGGTAGAGAATATGGATGAGAATGTCCAGTTTTGTCGAGGACAAATACTGCGCCATCTTGCTGCTCTTGTCTGCGAAGCTGGCGAGCCAGCTGAGATTGC